CTCCGCCCAGCCACAGTCAGCGGGCCAACGAAGCCGCAGTCCACAACAAAGAACTCGGCGATGAGCGAAATCACGGCCTCAGCCTGGAAACAAAGCCGTCAATCACACCATGCGATAACACAGAAATGCGTCGATCAATTAGACGACGAATTCGACTTGGCTGCGGCGCTGCGTGCTCCATCACCAGCAGGCACAGCAGACAAGGTAAGCGACGCATTGTCCTTTGGGTGGGGCCCCTTCAGCAATCCTCGGCGCCGTGACTCGATGTTGGACAAGAACGCCTTGCCCTTTCCTTCTCCACTCGGTACACCGCCGCACACTGACATGAGTTCTTTGGACACCCCACCAGCAGACCAGGCCACACACAATGCACAACAGACTGTAGATCCAGCTCGCCGTAGGTGGTGCCCATGACAAATGATGACATTTGCGTGTGCCCATTCAGAGACCAGTCTCACCAACATCCCCAGGGTCTTCGAGGGTGGGCGCCGCATCCAGCGCACCCATCGCAAACCTTCCAGCCTCCGAGATATCATAGGCAACGCCACATCCAAACTCAACCATAGCTTCAGCACGTGGCGAATCCAGCTGGTTATGTTGACACGACGTTCTGAATAACAAATCCCACGCAGCTCTGGAACTCCCTGACGTCCGTCTCGCACACCGTCGGCACACGAACGACCCACCGGCCAACTTTGCCACGACATGCGAGGTCACCTGCAAGGGCATGATGCGGGCGCCGACAGGCTTGGGCACAACCTCTGGACTGACAAGTTCCCATCTCCCCGCCTTCAGCGAACGCTGCATGGCCCACCCGATGTAGGCGGCCACTTGCTTGGCAAACCTCATCTCAACTTTGTAGAACTCCTCGTAAACCTTCGGCGCCGAGTGTATATCAGCCCCGCGTCGAGCGAACCAGTCTGCCCACATGTTGCCCAGGTAGAGCAGCGGGTTCAGCGACCGATCCAGGTATTCGTCGATGCTCTTGCGCGCAGGGATCCACATGACCTGCGGCCTGGACTCCTGCGCTCGTAGTCGCCTCCATACAGTGGCATGTACAGCCGCAGCTGCTTCCAGCTCTGGCCACCTCAGAGGCCGCCTCAGCCTCCAGGGCTAGCAAGTCTGTGAACACGAACTCCAAGATTGGCCCGAAGAGCGTCGCAGCCATCAGAAGCGCATGCCTCTCAGCTCTTCCGACAGTAGGAGGAGGAGGAGGAGGAGGAGGAGGAGGAGGAGGAGGAGGAGGAGGAGGAGGAAGAGGAAGAGGATGAGAAGGAGGAGGAGGAGGAGGAAGAGGAGGAGGAAGAAGGAGGGGGGCAGAAGCACTGACACCATGACCAGCCTCGTGACCCAAAGTGAAAGGTCGATCGAGCGATTAAGGACGTCTCGTCCCGCTTGCGGGAACGTCGTGCCTCATGCAGAAAGACGAACGCATGCAACGGAGACAATGCAAATCATGATCATGCCCCTCGTGTCGAGGTTTGAGCTCCTAACCTTTTGAGCTGGAGTTAGACGCGCTGCCATTGCACCAGCCTCGAACTTGTCCCTATCCCGAAGATCGGGAACGCCAGGGCGACGACAATCTTAGGGATGTGGAGGAAGAGGAAGAGGAGGAGGAGGAGAAGGAGGAGGAGGAGCAGGAGGAGGAGGAGGAGGAAGAGGAAGAAGAGGAGGATGAGGAGAAGGGGGAGGAGGAGGAGGAGGAAAAGTAGGAGGAGGAAAAGGATGAGGATGAGGATGAGGAGGAGGACTAAGAGGAGGAAGAGGAGGAAGGGGGGCAGAAGCACCGGCACCATGACCAGCCTCGTGACCCAAAATGAAAGGTCGATCGAGCGATTAAGGACATCTCGTCTCGCTTGCGGGAACGGCGTGCCTCATGCAAAAAGACGAACGCATGCAACGGAAACAATGCAAATAATGATCATACCCCTCGTGTAGAGGTTCGAGCTCCTAACCTTTTGAGCTGGAGTCAGACGTGCTGCCGTTGCACCAGCCTCGAGCTTGTCCCTATCCCGAAGATCGGGAACGCCAGGGCGACGACAATCTTAGGGATGTGGAGGAAGAGGAGGAGAAGGAGGAGGAGGAGCAGGAGGAGGAGGAGCAGGAGGAGGAGGAAGAGGAAGAAGAGGAGGATGAGGAGAAGGGGGAGGAGGAGGAGGAGGAAAAGTAGGAGGAGGAAAAGGATGAAGATGAAGAGGAGGACTAGGAGGAGGAGGAAGAGGAAGGGGGGCAGAAGCACCGGCACCATGACCAGCCTCGTGACCCAAAATGAAAGGTCGATCGACCGATTAAGGACGTCTCGTCCCGCTTGCGGGAACGGCGTGCCTCATGCAGAAAGACGAACGCACGCAACGGAGACAATGCAAATCATGATCATGCCCCTCGTGTAGAGGTTCGAGCTTTTAACCTTTTGAGCTGGAGTCAGACGTGCTGCCGTTGCACCAGCCTCGAACTTGTCCCTATCCCGAAGATCGGGAATACCAGGGCGATGACAATTGGAGGGAGAGGAGGGAGAGGAGGGGGGGAAGGAGGAGGAGGAGGAGGAGGAGGAGGTGGAGGAGGAGGAGAAGGAGGAGGATGAGGATGAGGATGAGGAGGAGCAGGAGGAGGAGGAGGAGGAGCAGGAGGACGAGGAGGAGGAGGAGGAAGAGGAGAGGGAGGAGGAGGAGAAGGAGGAGGAGGAAGAGGCGGAGTGTGAGTATGAGTATGAGTATGAGGAGGGGGAAAAGGAGAAGGAGGAGGAGGAGGAGGATGAGGAGGAGCAGCTACAGCCAACCTACCAAGCGGTGCGGGCTATGATGCGGTCGGGAGCATTTGCTGAGCCTGTCGCGGCGGCGGCCCTGGCGACACGCTATGCCTTGCGAGCGGATAGCGTGTCGCTGCGCTCCACGGGACGGGAGGCTGGGAGAAACTCGAGACGTTGACGCTTGGGGACTTTGACATGTATACCGTGTCGCGCGGAAGCGTGGTAGGTCAGAAACGGCGGCGCGACACGCTAAGCCCAAATCCATGACCGTATGTGTACGTACTTGCTCAGGGCCTCCGCGACTCCAACTGCAGCGGATGCCTCCCGGGAAGGAGGGGTGCGACAGGGGAGAAGAAATATTCTTCTGGATCCCAACTCAAGCAACTCAACCCAACGCACCCCGAGTTGGGCGTCGTTGGTGCCGAACCTCCCGGGCCAAGCATGTGCGCATGTAGTATCCCGCAGTCGCGGATAAGAGTGAGGGAGCGGGCGCGGGGTTGGTCGCGGGTGGGTAGCGGGTGGGTCGCGGGTAGGTCGCGGGGTGGGTCGCGGGTGCTCGCTGGTCGCTGAAGCGCCAGTCCTGCATGAATTGCGAGGAAGTCTCGAGCGATACCGCGATTCCAAATAAATCGTGAGTAAATCTATCTACGGCCAAAGATCGCCCGAAGACGCCCAACAGGGCCCCAAGACAGCCCAAGAGGCCTCCAAGACGCCCCAAGGTCCTTCCAAGAGGCCTCCGAAGAGGGCCCCAAGAGGCCAAAATCGTTGATTTTCATTGTTTTTTCCGATGTTTTTTGCGTTCTGGCTTTTTCGGCTTCCGGACGCTCCAAGACGGCCCAAGAGGCCCCAAGACCGCTCCAAGACGGCCCACGAGGCTCCCAAGACGGCCCCGGAACGGCCCAGGAGGGCCCCCAAGACGGCCCAAGTGCCGCCCAAGACGGACCAAGAGGCCCCAAGACGGGCCCAAGAGGGGCTCAAGAGGGGAACCGAGAACTGAAAAATCGAGCCCTCCGCCCCAGAAGGCGCCCAGGAGGCCCCAAAAAGGCCCCAAGAGGCCCCCAAGAGGCCCCCAAGACGCCCCAAGAGGCGCCCAAGAGGCCCAAAAGAGGCTCCAAGAGGCCCAAAAACGGCCCCCAAGAGGCCCCCAAACTCGGCTAGCCCACAACGGTGCGACAATATGGGCCAGCGGCATGAGCGAAGCGATTAAATAAATCGTGAGGAAATCTATCTAAGAGCAATCAGAGCGACAGCGTGATTCCTGCGCGTTGGCGCAGCGGTTCAATACATATCGAGGAGGCACCACGCGAGAGAGCGATTTCTGGATAAACTGTGAGGGCGTCCCGCGCGAGAGCGCAATTTGGAGTAAACTGTTCGGAACTATCCAGCGGGAGCCGCTGTTGTGGTAAACTGAGGGCCAGGGGGGCCATCCGAGCCTCAAGACCTTAAGACCTTACCTTGTAAAAACAAGGTGCGAGCCCCAGAGGGGGCACTTCAATTGAAATAACAAGGTGCGCCAGAGGGGGGATCAACAATTCTAGTTTTTGGGAAATCAGAGCTCAACAACACCACACAGCAAGCAACACATATCCGGGCCATGGAATGCCACCTCAGCCACGCACCCAAGGACAACGAATGACCGCTCGGCCCCTCGCTCTGCTTTGCTCCTTAAGCTGGGGGTCGGGCAGCGTGCAAGTGCTTTGCGAAGAGCTCAGGTGAAGCTCCCACAGGGGGCCGCGAAACGTGTGAGGGGTGTGCCGAGATAGGCGCTGCCGCCCCTTTGATTCTCACAGCAACGCTGCTGCTACTGCTGCCGGCGCACTGTTTACCTCGCAAGTGGGAGTCGGTGAACTCGCTCCCCGTCCGTGCGCCGCAGGGCCACGACCTTCAGCTCACCCCACTTGCCCGATGGCGCGCTGACGGGACGCGAGGGCCTTCGGCGGAGCATGGGGCCACCAAACGTGCAAGGGGTATGTCGACCTGGGCACGGTCGGTCCGCTCGAGAGGAGCCCCAGCACGGCCACCCAAGGCGGCAGCCGCGCTGAGCTCCACCGATGCCGTGCAGGCTGGGCGCCCATGTTGTGCCCCCGCGGGGCCGCGAAGAGGTGCAGCCAGTCCGCGCCCTCGCCCAAATTGGCCGAGAGGGCCTGCGCACGCGAAGCCAGGGGGGCCCCAGGTGGCGCTCCCTTTGGGGCCTCGCGACGACTTCTGGGTCTCCCCCTCCCCCCGATGCGGCGGGCGCGGGGCGCGCTGGCGCCTCTTTCTCGTCGTCCACCTCCCGCCGGTCGCCCCGCCTGACGGGCCGCCGCTGCGCCGCTCCGCCTCGCCCTCCTCTTCCTCCTTCCGCTCCTCGTCCTGCTCGTCGTCCTCCTCCTGGCCTGCCTTCCCCCCGTTCCTCCATCTCCCTCCCCTTCCACTTCCCGCCTCCTCCTCCTCTTTCGCGTCCTCCGCCTTCCCACGTCCAGCACCCGCTCCTCCCCCCCCCCCACTCCTACTCTCTTTCTCCCCTCCGCCTTGTCCTCCTCTCTTTTCCTCCTCCTGCAGCTCCTTCTCCTGCTACTCCCTTCCCGTCGTCGTCATTTTTCTCATCCTCCTGAATCTCCTCATCCCCCTTCCCCCCGCCCCTGTCTTTTTCTTGTTCTTCTTCTTATTCCTCCTTTTCCTCCTCCTCCTCCTCCTCCTCCTCCTCCTCCTCCTCCACCATTCCCTCTTCCCCCTCCTCCTTCCAGTCCTCGCTCCTCCCGCACTCCGATACCTGTCCTGATAAGTGTTCTCTCCTCCCACACCTCCTCCTGCGGCTTCTGCTGCTGCTGCTGCTGCTGCTGCTGCTGCTGCTGCTGCTGCTGCTGCTACCCTTCCTCCCTTCTCCTCCTCCTCCTCCTCCTCCTCCTCCTCATCCTCCTCGTCACTCCCTCCCTCCCCCCCCTTACTTCCCTTCCCAACCGCTTCCCTCCCTCCCTCCCTCC